GTTCGACTGTTGGTGAATGTGAATACCACCTTGTACATCTAGTACAAAAGTACTTATTACTGATGAATTGCAGAATTGAGTAAAATCTATGTTGGAAAATGAATCATGTCAACATTTGGAAACAATATTTTAAAATATGTGATGCCAATCATCAAACTATTGCAGATATAAATGAATCTTGTACAGATGCAGACATTATTTTCCAGTTTTATATTGGTCACAGAAACTAACATCTACACAGCAGAAGTACAGCACATTTGAGAAAGAAGCATTAGCATTAGTTCTGAGTCTGAAGAAATTTCAAAAATATTTATTAGGGAAAGAATTCACTATCTTAACTGACAATTTAGGTCTTACCAAGTTGATGACCATGGAGTCAACAAACAACGCTAGAGTGAACAGATGGGCTCTATTGATTGCACAGTTTAAATTTAAAATACAGCACATCAAAGGCATCCACAATCACCTGCCTGATGTAATGTCAAGATTGTAGGTCTTATTATAGTATGTATGTTGTGATTGTCTGAAATGTTATTGTTGATCGACACATATGATTTTTATATATGTATATATATTTTGTATAAATTGTATATATATCATGTCATTGTGACAAATACTGGACATAAGACATAAGGTGACATGACGAAATAGTTAGAATTAGATATGAATATTTATTAAATGTAAACAATATTTCGAAATTATTAATGCAAAAGTTGTGACGATTAAATATGCTATGTTTTGAATATATATCACTAAACAATTGAAATATAAAACCACTTATAACAATGTATTTGGATTATTACAATGTATTTAAAAAAGTTAATTCTGGGCATCAATGAGCAAAATCAAAGTCATTCAATACACTTGAAAAATCGTCACTTGACAAAAGCACTGTAATTGCCGTTATTTGGAGCCGATCCTAGTTTTGCCGCGATTTGTTCCTCGGCAGGAACTCTGCATTTTGCATAGGACTGAGGCCCTGTTGGGGTATTTGTTTGGCCGCCATATAATGGGAGGCGGGGGGGGGGGATCGAAGGAGTCTTCTTAGGAGAGCCACATTTCATTTAGTGTTTGTGCGTGGCATGCTGATTTTACAGTGCACCTCCTGGCTGTTTGCCTCTGACTTCAGCACCTAATTTGTATTTATTATGGTACTCTAGATCGACGTACTTATGGGACCGAACTGTCCATCTTGACTGGTGTGTACGCCTGTAAACAGGACTTTGGCATCATTCATCATTGTCGCATCAACGTTTGTACTTAACGCTAGACAGAACATTGTTGCTTCGTTGACCATTAGTCATTACGGTGCGCCCGGTGCAGTCCGAGAACCTTGACTGGCTTGACTACGATGAACTTACATCAAAATGAAGGCAGTCAGAAACGTACAGTCCTGATGCAGTTGAAACACTTTTGCCCGGCAATCTCCTGGCAGCCATTATTTCATTAGAAATACGGGTTAAATATACGGTAGAAAGCTTAGTATAGGATTTTTGTGAACAAATCGAGACGTGAAATTTCCAGCCACCACTTTGTTGCGTCCGGTTAAAACCAGGGGTTATTGACCAGTGTTGCCACTTTTCTTTGACACAAAACATCCAAAATGGAGTCAAATAATATCTAAAAACATCTTAATTTGCGTGGAAAATATCTAGAAAAAACATCCAAATGGAAAGGGTCACAGTAGCTATTGATATGACTTAAGCTATAGAATCATGTCCTAACCAGTACTGAAGTCTACCTCACAAGATCCACAGGATAAACTTAGCTTGGATGATGAAGTTGAAGCTTCAGATCCAAAATGACTGGTATGCTTTCATTCATTCATTCATTCAGTAGCATGTCCCTCGCGGAACCTCGCTGCCATAACAACCCTCCGGAAAACCTTCCTATCATGAGCAAGATGTCCTGCGTCTGATACACCCATCTGGAGATCATCTGCCACATCCTGCACCCATCTTCTCCTTGGCCTTCCTCTTCCTCTCTTCCCAGGCATATACCCCTCCATTATTGTTCTCTCTAGACCTCCATGACGTTTCAAGTGACCAAAATATTTCAATTTTCTTTGTTTTATTGTCTTTACTAGCCAACCCTCTTCAATATTCAGCTCTTGAAGTATGGATGCATTTGTTCTTTTCTTTACCCAAGATATTCTTAGAACCTGTCTGTAACATTTATATTCAAATGCATTTATGCGCTGTTCCGCTTGTTTAGTAAGTGTCCAGGTCTCACAGGCGTATGTTGCAATGGGAAAGATGCATGCTCTTAAAAATCTGACCTTTGTAATTCTATCTGTACAATTCCATAATTTATTCAGTTGTTTTTAGTCTTTGAAGAGCAATTGATAGTCGCCGTTTGATTTCTTTCATTGTGTCACCATTGTTGGTAACCAGTGACCCAAGATATTCGAAATTGTCCACCACTTCCAATCTTTCCTCATTAACATATATTTCCTTCTCCATGGCAGTTTTGTTTGTATGCATTATCTTTGTTTTTGCTGTGTTAAGAAATAAGTTATGATTTTCACTATTTCTTTGGAGTGAGGTTAATAAGTTTTCTAAACCATTTTGTGATGTTGATAGTAATACTGTATCATCAGCATAACGAATTTCTGGTATTTCATGACCACCGATGTTTAGGGCATCATATTGTTCCTTGTTTATATCATCTCTTACATTTCTCATTATATTTTCGGCGTACAGGTTGAACAAATACGGTGACAGCACACATCCCTGACGGACTCCTTGCTTGATGCCAAACCAGTCTGATGTCTCTCCATCTATTCTGACTGCTGCTTGTTGGTCTTGATAGAGCATTTTAATGAGCTGCACTATATGTGATGGAAAGCCCATATTCCTCATGATTTCCCAAAGCTTCTGATGTTGTACACAGTCAAATGCTTTTGAATAATCCACAAAACATAAGAACAGATTTACATTAAATTCTCTACACTTCTCTATTATTAAACGCATGTTGAATATATGATCTCTTGTTCCTTTTCCCTGTCTAAATCCAGCCTGAGCTACATTAATCTCTTCTTCCATTTTCTTTTGCAGTCTTCTCATTATAATTTTTAGTAGAATTTTACTTGCATGACTGATCAGGGTATGCTTTAGGTGTTCCAATTTATTTTAATACCCAATCGGGGAGCTGATAAGTGGAACAGCCTTTTCCTACCCCTATCAGGCCGAATTTTATTGTCAAGATAGCATTTAGGAGGTCAAATTGCATCCTGTTTCTTAGGTTAGATTTGATAAATTGATAAACTTAGCTTGGATGATGAAGTTGAAGCTTCAGATCCAAAATGACTCTGGTATGCTTTAGTAGTTCCAATTTCTTTTAATACCTAATCAGGGAGCTGATAAGTGGAACAGCCTCTTCCTACTCCTATCAGGCCGAATTTTATTGTCAAGATAGCATTTAGTAGGTCAAATTTCATCCTATTTTTTAGGTTAGATTTGATAAATTCACTCCAAATAAAAACCCCTAGAAAGACATCTACCATCTAAACGTCAAAAACGCCATCTAAATGCAAGGAAAAGCTTCTAAATCTGGATGTAACACATTCAAAGTGGCAACACTGTTATTGACTGCCAATGCTGGGTTTTTTCCCCCAGATCTGGGGGTTTTTTTTACGCCTGGGGGAAATCTGGGTTTTTGTTGTTGAAGGAAATGAATGAACAGATTACGTCACAAAATAATCGGAAATTGTATGTTTAGTGTTTTAAAGCAGTCAGTTACTGTAAAAAAGTAAGTAAAGGACCCTTTTCCACTCCATCAGGCGTATAGGGCAAGACCTATATTTTATAGACCAATGGGACAAGATGGATGATGTCAGCATTACGCTGGCCGCCTCTGCTTCCCGGGACTGCACCTAGTACCCACTCGTGGCTGGTCGACCCGGAGCCAAGGTCCTTTTTGAAGAAAGGTCCGACTCATCTAGTTACTGGAGCGGAATTTAAAGATTGGGTAGAAGACAACAACGATAAGGACTCCAGTTACTGTAAATATTGTAATGTGGCACTTAAAAATGCAAAGAAATCCATTCTAGCAAAACATATAGATTATGTTCAAGTTCAAGGTGTCTCCTTAGTGCCAAAGAACTGCATGGCTGTTGGGTGAACAGTCGTTAACGAAGGCAGGAAGGTCGTTGTAGGGGCGACGCCAGCTGGTGGATGTTATGTCCCAAGTCCCTGCTCCAGCTAATAATGAGGGTACTGCTAGGGTGACCGTTTATTAACCCTCATATAATGCTTCAGGTCATAATGGACGCTAGGCACGGCCATCTATTGTTTTTTTTTCTTTAGCCAGACGGTGGCCGTTGCATTTTTGCTCCATTTGTAGACTGGAAGGATATAGTTTCGTCGCCCAGCTTCTGAGTTGAGTGCATGGCATGACACTGTGAGCTACGTGTGTTTTTCGTTGGCACAGGAGAGGAGCAACTATGGGGCGACCCGTTTGCTATGAAGCTGAAACTAGGATTGCCAGATTTCCCGATATAGATTATGTTAAACATGTAAGAAATGTCGAGACTGCTAAAGTAAGCGTTAAGATAATAAGATTTTTTTTTTTTAAATCTACACAAAACGAACAAATAGCAAAGAGTAAGGTAATGTTTGCATAGAAAATAGGAAGAGACGGTGGCAATTGAAACTGGCGAAGAAGAAGAGCTGTTAGAGTAACGTTTTAATAAAGATGTGTACATTGTCAGTGTACTAACTAAAATATATTTGCCGATTTCATGTTTTTTTTAAAATTATATTGTTTGGGTCATATCTTGGGTTTTTGTCAGCCACATCTTGGGGTTTGCCAAAAATCTTTTGGCAGCCTCCGGATACAACCGCAAGACGGAACTAACGAGGAGCTCTTGTGCGTCTGCGAGCAGTTTTGGTGACAGGTTTCATACCGAGAGATCGTCTCAGACAAAATAATTGTCGTTTCTAGCAGTTGTGTTTTTATCGTTTTATTTGTTTTACTAGATAAATATTTTCAGAATCAGCATGGATAATATTAATGTCATGAATCCTCTTGCTCAGCAACAGGTAATGGTTCAAGCGTAATGTCATTTAATTAAATACTAATCGATCCGGTGCCGTCTGCCAGGCGTCTGTCTTGATCTTCTGTCTCTTTTTCAATGATGTTGATTGATCATTTCTCGATTCTGCATGATTTTTTTCACTCTAATTTTTTTCGACTGATCTTCTTCAACACGCCGCTGCTGTACATTTAGCACTCAGACTGCTGTCCTAATCCGTCGGCCTCTTCTTGTTATTCTGATGTTTTTGTAATTATTTATATCGATGAGAAACCGGGAAACGCATCTTGATCTTCCTCGCCTGCTCCCCTTCCGCACCACCTCACAACAGACTGGATGAAAAATGTACCCCCATCCCGCCCCCAAAAAACATTTTTTTCTAACAGAGAAGACACAAACAACAATATATTTTATCATTATTGTCTAAAACATTTTGCGGCTATCCATCAAATAGCGGTCGTAAATTATGGGGGCTGAAAATATACCCTAACAGGGCCTCAGTCACATGGCAATTTCGCAGTTCCATTGTCTTGAAATGCGAGCTTCGGGCGACTTCTGCCGCCGCCAATTTGCAAAACTTTCGGGAACTTCCACCACCGCCACGTGTCCCCTATGCCGCTCATGCGGCGTGGATTGGGGCTAAACTAGATAGCTAGGACTCACGAGCAGCAGCTACCGCATCTCCTGCAGCTTCCTTTATTCTATTTGCTCGTGAGTCCTAGCCATCTAGTTTAGCCCCAAACCACGCCACATGAGCGGCATAGGGGACACGTGGCGGAGGTTGCCGAAAGTTCGCAGTTCGGCGGTGGCGTTATAGTCCCCGGAAGTGCGACATTGACACATGACTGAAGCCCTGTAGGGTATATTTTCCGCCCTGATAATTTACGACTGTTATTCGGAGGATAGCCTATTTTGCTATATCTTGTTCGGTGCATACTACAGTAACAATTGATTAAAATGAAGCGATTGAATCCTCCTAACTCTAACACAAAATCGACTAAATTCTCAAATAACTAACTGTCTTAGTTGGCTCTGCTCAGAATAATGGTCCTTAATTATTGAGGCTAAGAAAATACACTAACAGGGCCTTATTACGTCATCTGTAATAAACATTGAACAGTTTTAACTAGAAAAATATAAGGAAAGAGAAGTTGACTACTTACTAATAATTAAGGCTTATATGTGAAAATTGTGGCACAGAAGTTGTAAATAGTGTCAGAAAATCTGCTCTTTGTGACTGAGGCGCCATGGAAATGTAGCTAAATATGTTCTGAACAAGGAGCCACTAAGTTAGTGGTTAGTGATAGTCACGTTAGTGGTTAGTCACGTTAGTGACTAACGTAGCTTTCATTTCAGTAGCATCCACAACCCTTCAATGGTCTGCAAATGAATGTCACTGTCTGCGCTGTCAAAAAAAATTAGTATCATGCACAACAACTGCATTATCATAAATGCCATGCTTTAATTTGCCAAGCATCAGTCACAATTCTCATTCCAGTGAATGCGACCACGTTGGTACTTGCAGTAGAAAAAGTAGCTCTCATACACTTCGACAACGAAGATTTCCCGTTGTAACATTCCTGGTGAAAATAGTTGTTGAGACCAAGGGAAACCCTACATAGAACTATCATCAGGGAAGGCTCGCTCATGGGCCACTCAAACATCCAAGACCTACAACGGATTGCAACCGACCGCCGTGCATGGAGAGTCATGACCTCTGTCCTATGTGCCGCACTCGACACAAGAGGAAAGACTAACTAAGTTGACAGTGGTGTCACAGCTTATCAACCTCTTGAAAAACATCACATGCTTTAATTTGACATCGAAGAGCCAGTAGAACATCATCATCACAATTTTCTCAGTTGGCATTTCACGACTGGCAAAGAATAACAGAATAATAAGTCTAGGCTTAGTAATGCAGTAAAAATAATTTGTAAAGATAAGCTTCCGTTAATAAATATTTCCTTACAGTTCATACATGGTTTGTGCAAACTGATTAAAGTTAAAGCAGACGTTGGTGTTATCAGTCGCCACATGCTGAAGGATATAATGTAGATGGGATCTGAACACTTATTGACTTGTCCTATGTGCAGTGAGGTTAATCTTTCGATTAACTAACTAACATTTATTCGTTGTTCCAGTATACATATAAATGGGTAATTCCTTAACAGTAACTGTGTGAATAGAACTAAATGTACACAAGTTGTGTTAGAGAACGCTGTGAGTTTGTGCAGTGGGTAGCATGCTTGTTAGCCTGTTTTTTTTTTTTTTTTTTAATAAGTTCACATCCACTTCAAGGTGGTTTTTTTTTAACTAGGGACTTGGACTCCCAAGTAAACATTGTCAAAACCTAGATTTCAGATAATTTTCTGGAAAGTAAATGTTGTTGACAATATATTGCCCACATCACTTAATGATGCCATTCAGTCAAGAAATATTGGGGCTGCATGAATACCCAGTAACCTCAAGGCATGACAATTAGTCCTTTACAGGTTCAGTGCCCAAGCTTGTGACAAAATGGGAGTTTTCGTTCTGTATTTAATCTGGATATCATGATTGGTGGTGGGCTTGCAGACAAAGCTTTTGTGGAGGGTGGCTGAGCTAAGCACCAACAGCATGTTTTCAGTGAGTAGTAAGATTGAAGTGATCGATGCAAATCTGCAACTATGACCAGACTACAATAACAGCGCGCGAAAAGTGGTAAGGCCAGACAGGAGCACTGCGCTGGAAGCCAAGATGAATAACAACCAACACAGAAATTGTGTTTATTTATGGACTGAATGGTTTGATGTGCAGTGAGGATGATCAGTCAACCAACTCACAGATACCAATATCCTCACACTTCAGCCTTTTATATCACCTGATATTTTTTTGAATTAGATTAGTAATGAGTAAATATGTGCTTTAACTCATGCACTTCCACGGCTACTTGTTTAAATGTTCATCAGTTAGTTTTTCTTTCAGAGAAGTATGATTCAGCCACCACCATTGCAGGTGGACAGAGAAAGAATTTATCAGTGGATCAATGATCTATCTTCACCAGAAACTAGAGAAAATGCATTACTGGAACTCAGGTAGCTAACCTCTTCTTTCACATTGCCAGGTAGCATAGTTGATAATTTCTGTCTGCCACTGTCATTCTCTTATTGATTCACATATGGACAGAGCAGTAATCATCAACACTATATAATGTACAGACTAGACTGGTGGATAACGTAGTAATGTTAATTGTGATAACATAATCATTATTTATTATGGTGTGGTGTTAATATTTTACACCACACAGGGCTCCTGATTGATTACTCCAGTGCCTTCACCTCAGCAGTTTTTGTTAAAGTTATGTATGGATTCAAGTCTTCCTTATGTGGGTTTCAACTTTATGTTGGGAATAGACCAATTGACCCCTAAAAAGTGTGTCAAAAAGGCAGCCATATCTTTCTAAATGTGGGGGCATCTGCCTGAGATTCAAGGAGGCAGCTATCGGCATACAAATAAGCCAGATCTCTAAAACTGGTGTACAAGCAAAATGTAGGTTCTGGAACACACCAGAATCTAACATGGACAAGCAACCAAAACTTTCCACCAGAGTTCATACTAAGATAAAGAAGAAGTATTCTAGTCCCCAGCATCACTGTTCTCTGTCATCTAGTTATCATTTCCTTTTCAAAAATATATTTTTTTATTAGGTTGATATAAAAAAAATTACATGATTTTCAGCAGAGAGTTTGTAGTCTTGATATTCCTTCCATTTTTTATGTTATTTAGATTTTATTAGATCAATGTTGTTTTTTTACTTACAAAAACACTTTTGTTTCTTCCACACAGTAAGAAACGAGAAATTGTTCTAGATCTGGCACCATTGTTGTGGCATTCATTTGGTACACTAGCAGCACTGTTGCAAGAGATCATTCAGATCTACCCATGCATTCTCCCTCCAGTCCTAACAGTAAGTTGAGTTGTACATCTGAATATTTATGGAAATGAAGCCATTCATCTGTAAATAGCAACACATCATCTTAAAATCTACACAAACAGTCAAATCAAACCATTTGGAAACTTCAGCAAACTCAAGTACAGCAACATGCCTATTGTGGACATTACTAGAACTATAGTTAATTATGAGATGGTGATTGGGGACTTTTTTCGACCTGGGAAATATGAATGCAAAAAAAACTTATGAGTATTATGTGCTTAGAGGAGCAAATAGCTGAGTGATTAGTATGCCGACCTCACATATCACGGGCAGAGGTTCTTTTCCTTAGTATGTGCCTATTTAGTTTTTCAGTCTTTGCAGCTGATTGAGTGACCTCTCAACTCTTCTGTATTAAATCATGTAGTGAATAAATTAGTCTGAGAAATGAAACCTATATCTTAGTTTGCATCAAAACTTGTAACTGTGACTGTCGTAACGTTACATGCAAGACAATCTTGTCTAGGATCAGCGCAGCCAAAGATGTTTTGTTTATGTTTGGGATTCCCCTGGCAACAAACAATAATTTAAGTGTAAGATTACAGTTAAAAACCAACAATCTTGTCTAAGACCAGCCCAGCCAAAGATGTTTTGTTTATGTTTGGGATTCCCTTGGCAACAAACAATAATTTAAGTGTAGGATTACAGTTAAAAACCAACAATCTTGTCTAAGACCAGCCCAGCCAAAGATGTTTTGTTTATGTTTGGGATTCCCCTGTTAACAAACAATAATTTAAGTGTAGGATTACAGGTAAAAACCAACAGCATTGCAATCGGGGCATATTCATAAATTCTTTATCCACAGCTTCAGCAGCCATCACAGAGTTCTAATTTCAACGGTACCAGAAGCAGCCTGATTGTATATCCATCAGGCCTTTACCTGAGTATTGTGTGTGAGGCAGATCCCCTGGTTACACCTTGTGTGTGAGCCAGATTCCCCTGGTTACACATTGTGTGTGTGAGGCAGATCCCCTGGTTACACATTGTGTGTGAGGCAGATCCACTGGTTACACCTTGTGTGTGAGGCAGATCCCCTGGTTACACCTTGTGTGTGAGCCAGATCTCCTGGTTACACATTGTGTGTGAGCCAGATCCCCTGGTTACACCTTGTGTGTGAGCCAGATCCCCTGGTTACACCTTGTGTGTGAGCCAGATTCCCCTGGTTACACCTTGTGTGTGAGCCAGATTCCCTGGTTACACCCCACTGCACCATTTTCTTCAGACTGTGATGATTTTTGTGTGGCTCTGCACTGTTCACTTGCTCCCAAAGGGCTGTGATAACATCTAGCTTGTCATTCATCGATTTACTACCAAGCTAGTTTGTCTGCCTATTGGTTTCCCCAAACACCTGCATACCATGGATGAAATACCCAGAGGATGCAAACTACCAGATACTTGAAGCGACACATACTACTCTGTACAAAGTAACCCTGTCTCTCCTTTTCAGCTTGCTTTGTGAGTTGATTCACTTTGTTAAACCAGTTACACAGGTTAAGCTGGAGCTGAAGTAGTAAAGTCTTACCTTGGGTCACTTAAATTGTCATATTTATATGTTCTCTCTTACACAGGGCATAAGTGCATCCTGTAGGGCAGTCAAGTGTTGTTACTTAGGGTGTCCTATTTATTCCCAAAGTTGGAGTGCACCTGAGAGGCAAAGAACCAACAGTCGGCATATACATGAGCCAGATCTATAAAACGGATTTGCACACAAAACTCAGTTTCTCGAACATGACTAAAGTCTAGAAGTGGACAAGCAACTATAACTTTTTGTAAAAGTTTACAGCTATTCAACACAAAAAGACGAGGCAGTGCCTTGTTTTGTTTTTCTGTGCTAACATGGGGATAAATGCATCCTCTGGGACAGTTAAATAGTTAGTTAAGCTGTCTATATATATTTTCTATGCAATACAGGTATGATTGCCTCCTGTGGGACAGTTGTTGTTGTTATCGATCCAGCGGCGCATGAGCTTTCGCCCTTTGGCCCAATGCCATGTAGTGGAATTTGCGTGTTTTCACAAGCTGTTTTTTTCCTCCGTACAAGGTGTTCCACTTGTCTGGTCTCGGAGGGAGTAGCATTCTTCTAGTCTCGCTGAGTTTTGGGCACTCAAAGAGATGGTGTTCAACAGTTTCGTAGAGGTAGTTACATAGCTGGCACTCTGGGGAGTGTTGTGGCTGTATTCTGTTTAGTTGTTGTTGTTTTTATCGATCCAGCGGCGCATGAGCTTTCGCCCTTTGGCCCAATGCCATGTAGTGGAATTTGCATGTTTTCACAAGCTCTTTCTCTCCGTACAAGGTTTCCACTTGTCTGGTCTCGGCTTTAGCGTTCTTCTTGTCTCACTGAGTTTTGGGCACTCAAAGATATGGTGTTCAACAGTTTCCAGTTACACACTCTGGGGACTGTTGTGGCTATTCTGTTTAGCATTGAGTGGAGTATGAAGTAGTAAGTCTGAACCTTGGGTCACTGGTCCCTCATTGTTATATGGTTAATGCTGTCTTACACAGGGCCAGACATATGTCTATAAACCTCTCTTCCTGTAGGGCTGTCAGTCTCTTTGTTTTGCTCTTATCACTTTGGGGTGTCCTGTATGTTGCTCCTTTCGCAATCTGTCATTGCCGGAGTGACCTCGAATCCACTGCATCACTATTCTGAGAGCTGATCAGCATCCAGATTATCTTGGCAACAGTCAGTTCTGCAGCGTTCATGCCCTCCAGATGAAAGACAGATCTATAAGAACGGATTTGCACTTTGAAGGGTAAAACATCCATTACAGTCTTTAGGTGGTTCTCAGTGCAATTATTTCAACATCATAGTTTGAACAGTCTCCCCGCATGCATCAAAAATCTTTTCAACGGATCAAGCAACCTATAGACTCCGTTTTGTCAAAGTTTACAGCTGATCCATCAGTATAGACATCCATTCTTGGAGGTAAGAACGGTCTTTAGTGATGAGTTCATAAGAGCGATTGGGTCGGACTGTTTGGTTTCCTGCCTACCAATTTGTTTTTTTAAAGCGAGCATGTGGTGGTGCTGCAACAACTTGACGTCTTTCTGGGAGGTGTATCTGGGATCATTAACAATGCATCCTCTTTGTTTGGATTCCCAGTTTTTACAAGATGTCTATTAATGGTTAGATTTTTAAGCTTTGTTTTAAAGTGTCTTTTTCTCTCCGCAAACAGAGGGGTTCCACATTTGTATGGATTTCACAGGTATGGTGTGCCATCCTCGCAGATTAATCAGAGGGTTATTTTGTACTGTTCAAGAGTCTCGTTATCAAGTTGTAAGCAGTGAGTTGTTGTACTCTATCGCATGAGCTAGATATAAGCATCCCTTTGGCCCATGATGCACGTCTCACTGTACCGCCTCAATGCCTTATTCCTGATGTTTTCAATATGGTTTTGAGGCTGAGCTGCCGGTCAAATGTGACTCCAAGGTATGTGGGATGCTCTTCTTTCATCACTTGGTGTTTGTCTACCTCAGGTTAATATTCTTCCTTGCTACTTGTCTTTTGGTAAAGATTGTGTAGACCGTCTTTGCAGTAGCATCTTTGGCAGTACTCATGCAGTCTTCTAAGGTCTCGCTGAGTTTTGGGCTCCACTTTCACAAGATTGGTGTTCAGCGTACAAGCTTTTTGTATTTGTTCTGGCAGGTCATTGTAAAGATTTACAGTGTAGCCTTGTGGCAAGCCCTCCTGGAGAGATTGCGTTGTGCATCTTGTCTGGCTGTTTTCTGTATTTAGATGTGCCATGAGTGGAGTATGGAGACCTTTTCTAAGTCTGATAGATGGTGGCAAAGGTGCCCTGTTGTTTCTTATTCTGGATAGTTCATGCTTTGTCATCTAGCTGGTCTTCTGTGAAGCTGTTGGTTCTGAGCCTGCCTGTTCATGTCTATAGAACACCAGAACTTCCAGTGTCTTCAATATAAGCGCCCATTCTTTCTGCAACTTTGCCCAAGCATGAACCAAATCTCATCTGGAGGCTTTTGTTTATAGCTCTTATCAGTGTTTTTGCATTCTGTCTGTTAGAGGTCTGTCTGAGGGCCAGCCATGTGTCTATATACCTCTCTTCCAGTGTCTTCCCATGGCCCATCTTTCACAAATCTCTAAGCTGTCCTAGGTCTCTGGGACAGTTAAATGATGTTACTTAAGCTGTCCTATATAAATTTTCTATGTAATACAGGTATGATTGTCTCCTGTGGGACAGTTAAATGATGTTACTTATATTGTCCTATTTATATTTTCTATGTAATACAGGTATGATTGTCTCCTGTGGGACAGTTAAATGATGTTACTTAAGCTGTCCTATATATATTTTCTATGTAATACAGGTATGATTGCCTCCTGTGGGACAGTTAAATGATGTTACTTAAGCTGTCCTATATATATTTTCTATGTAATACAGGTATGATTGTCTCCTGTGGGACAGTTAAATGATGTTACTTAAGCTGTCCTATATATATTTTCTATGTAATACAGGTATGATTGCCTCCTGTGGGACAGTTAAATGGTGTTACTTAAGCTGTCCTATATATATTTTCTATGTAATACAGGTATGATTGCCTCCTGTGGGACAGTTAAATGATGTTACTTAAGCTGTCCTAAATATATTTTCTATGTAATACAGGTATGATTGTCTCCTGTGGGACAGTTAAATGATGTTACTTATGCTGTCCTATTTATATTTTCTATGTAACACAGGCTTCACAGTCAAATCGAGTGTGCAATGCTCTAGCCCTTCTACAGTGTGTTGCATCGCATCCTGAAACCAGATCAGCATTTCTTGCAGGTAAGTTCTGACTGACTACCACCAGCAACAGCATTGATTTGCACCTACAAACAGTAAATAAACTCTGACTTAGAAAATTAGTAGTTTAGGACAAGCACTAAAGTTTTTGTGCATTTCCTTTAACAAAGTGATTAAGTATGGTCAACATATCCACATGAGTTAATGGCAGCTGTAGTTTTTTTTTTTTTTTTTTTTTACATTTTTGTGCGCTGCTGAGGATAGAGTCAGAGACTGTTATTTGTGCATCCATCATGACTTTATATTAAGTTAGCAATGATCAGATTATAACCACTGTAATGAAATGTCTGTTAAATCTTCCAATTCATAGTGAAAGCTGATAGACGTCGCTTAGCGCAACAAAGTCTGGTGTATGATACCACAGCATCTGGTATGAGAATAGAGGTGGAGGCAGTCACTGCAATCTTCTGCCTGCTTGAGAACCAGCTGTACATACATGTCATGATTGTAACTGACTCACAGAGCATGTTGAGAAAAGTGAAGACAGATGCTCTGTACAGAGTGGCAAGCATCGCTAAAGAGGTCCTTGGTGGTTGCCGTCCTTTGGATATTTTCTGCAAGTTGCGCCCATATGTTAGGAAATGAACAGGCAGATAGACTGGCTGGTTCTGCACCATTTAATTGTGAATTGATGCATGAAAACCTATATGTTGTAAAGGTTCTTTGGGAGCAAGTCAGCAGTGCAAAGGCACAAACAGATTATCACAGTCTGAGCAGAATGAGATCTGCCCAACTCTTGACAGAAGGATGAGATGCTTTTACAATCATATTGTTACTGGTGCTGTCAGAATTGGAAAGCTATGTTTGCTGCTGGAAATGGGAGGGAGCACTTATGAGAATGTCTAGAGGGCTGTGATATTGATTTCTAATTCAACCTTGAACATTTTATGAGTGGTTGGTCATACTTGTTACAATAACCGTAGCTGTAATTTGAAATATCCGTAGTTTATGACACGCACTGTCAGATAGACTGACTAAGTACTGTTTCTGTCATCTACAGCACACATTCCGCTGTTCCTCTACCCATTCCTGCACACAGTCAGCAAAACTCGTCCATTTGAATACCTGCGCCTGACCAGCCTTGGGGTTATCGGAGCCTTAGTCAAGGTATGATAGTCTGTTGGGACCTGTGTTTATGTGTTGGCATGTATCCCCAGGGATATCTTTACTTGCTTGCTGTTTGTATAGGATGTTTTGTTTGAAATATTTAAGGAGAAAATAGATGAATTGAATAGAGCAATTTTCAAAGAGACGACATATACTGTGCTGTATGTTAGCAAAGCTAGCCAGATTTCTTTAGCATACTCAAATCAAATGTAATATACATAATTACATACCATTTTTTATTTGATAAACACGGATTATAACCGATCACACATTGTACCTTGGTTGGGACAGAAAGAGTTAAATACCCGTTTACTCCTCCATGACTACACTGCACTGTTTAGTGGTTATTTTGCTGTTTTATTTTCTGGTCAGTTAAACAAATGATTTTAGGTCTACTGTCATGGATACTTGAAAATAATATACTTTACAAACATAGTAGAGTAACAGTCTATAGTAGAGTAACAGTCTATAGTAGAGTAACAGTCTATAGTAGAGTAACAGTCTATAGTAGAGTAACAGTCTATAGTATGTGCATAAACAACAAATTCCAATATGTGTCATTTCTGCTTTATTGTTGCAAAGGGGTTGTCATATGTTACTTGGCTGAGTACAGGCGTTGTCTTATCATATTTGGCTGAGTGCAGGGTGTGTCGTATCATGACTTACTTGGCTGTTGTAAAGGGTGTGCCTTAACTCACTTGGCTGTTGTAAAGGGTGTGTCTTTTGTTACTTAGCTTTTCTCAGAACCTGTGAGTTGCAGTTCAGTATTCTAAGAATATAGTGAAACCTTAACAGTTTCTAAGAAAAACTATTATAATTAATGTGGGCTGAGAATGTGAACATTATCTTGCTTCAGTGAAATAGTTCCTCACATTTCCCTTATGGTGGAGATGTGTTTATCGATATTTAATGATTCCTTCTCATTAAACTTGGGTATGTTTCCCTGATCGGTAGCTTCCTATAATGAACATGGGTCTGTTTGCTTTATTGTTAGCTTGCTTTAATAACATAAGTCTGATTGCATGTTTTTATCGTCTCTCTATGCTGTAAGTTTTTGTAACATTGTTATGATGATACAAAGAACATTTGTATCTAATTATGTTTACAGACAGATGAACAAGAAGTGATAACCTTCCTTCTGAACACAGAGATCATTCCATTGTGCCTCCGAATCATGGAGGGTGGCAGTGAATTGTCTAAAACAGTAAGTACAATTTTGTCCTTTCCTTTCATAGAAATAATTAATATGATTAACCAGTTTCTTCATTCCACGAAAGCATTTCAAAATAGAAAGTTAAAAGAATAAGTAAAGTCATGCGATACAGACACAGTTTCTAAGCATCTAGTTTATAGCTGAGAAGGGCAGTAAGGAAAAAGCAGTGAAACAATTTCAGGAGGTAGCAAATAGGAGAGCTTGGCACAAGAGACTGGCATTCTCCTTAAGATGATAAAAGGCTGTCACATTCCACATGAAGCGGTATAGGCATAGAACGGGCCTGACACCAACACAAGGAAGAACCAGCATGTATCTGCAGCTCTTTTTCCTGCATGAACTGCACTGTTTTCTGAAATGTATGTGTGCTTAACTATCTGGACATCTGTGGTTGTTTCAGTCACACATGAGTAGTCATCCTTTTTGACCCTCATTATGCACATCTTTACGCACACCTCTGAATTTCCTAGACTAATCCCTCATAGAACTGTCACTTACAGTATTATCACCATACACACGACACAATCAATGATGAATTTTAGCGGTATTTTGACCTTCCTTGACGAAAACCGCTGGTGGGAAATACATTACCAGTGTCCATTTTTATTCATTTGCAGTTTGTGAACCACTGGACAAGGTTGAGCTGTACTTAGCTTAAAAGCAGTGAACAGTATCGCTATGACAAACGATTTATGTTTACCAACCAGTCGGAATTTGATTCTCGAATAGCCGTTAAACTACAGTTTATACGTTGACTTTCAGTGAAGATTTTTACTAGCAAGTCTGCTGTTATCATGCTTAGACAAATTTATGTATTTTTGTGGTTTCATCTAGATATGTTACTTTTTTCTCTTACTACTTTTTTCTGCTGTTAGGATTGTTTGACTGTTTGCTTCAACAGTGAACTACAGTTCTAGTAGGAGACTGCTAGTGTTGGCACTTATTACATCTACCTTATTAATTTAGTTTATGCGTACAAACTTCAAGATGCTTTTTACTAATTTTATAAATGGAGGACATTTTGTATTAGGATAACTGATCGATTGCAGTAGTTCTTGCTATTCTGGTTGCCTCAGTGTAACCCCTTGCTGACTCAGCCCTCACTAGGTTAAAACTGGAATGCAGACTAAGAGACATGTTTGATCATATAACCCATGGTTTGGGAGGGGATTGAGGTGTACCAGAGCATAGGCCATCTGCCAGTTGGGTCTGCACACTGCATTTCTGGGAGCAAACCTGCTTTGAGGTCCTATCTGGGATGCAGAGATGAACCATCATTAGCGAGATGAACCATCATTAGCGAGGGTGCACCCGGACCAGGTGCCTATCTACACCTCCTACAGTCATCCTTTAATAAATAAATCAAGAATCAACATCACCGCACTCATTTCAACGTGTTTTCCTTCCCCTTCTTCAGTAACCAGCGAAAGGTTGACATGCTAATAGTAAAAGTTGCAACCTGGTTACAAGTCTGCCTATGTTTGCCACCTCAGTGTTGCATCTTCCAGAACTCAACCCCTGCTGAATTAGATGTTCACTGTATAGTATGGATTCTCACTGTCATTTTGATCCTAGAAAGCATTCTCCATGTCTGCGTCACCACATCTTCAAAGCAGGTTCTACTTCACGGACTTGGCCAATGTAGCTAGGATCGTGTTTACTTTAAAATTAGAGCTCATTTGCCTGAGAGGCTGTTGTTTGCTAAACTCACTTTGCTGTTCAATTGTACAAGGCGTCAGAGGCGTGTTGCCTACGCCGGTCGTGAAGGTGCTGGATGATGATGATAGTAGAGGCGAGTGCCAAAGGTACACACGGCTAAATTGTAAGACGGGGCTTTCTTGAAATTAACGGCTAATAGCAATCGCCACGGGGACTGCGAAGAACCCGGAAGGTTAGCGAGAATTTAAAGACACACTTGCAACTACGGGTGTGAAGAGTCCTGGCGTGATTGAATTAGTGCCTCTCTGTCGTTGTGATAGTGCGAACGTGTGTAGGCACGTGTGGGATTTTTTGTTTAATCATGTGTATTATTTTATTCTGCTTGAAGCTAGTTTGTTCAGTAGAATTTGATGTCTAATTCGGTATGCTCCAGTTGAGTGTATTTAATGGAGACAAGGCGTTGAGGGCCCAACATCTCTTTATGATCCAACTGCGAGGATGTGTTCCTGATCGCATTAGAGGCTGATTGCGACCGTGCGTCGGGAGACTAGGGAATGCCGGGGCAGAGTCTTTAGTCAGCTATTATGTATAGGTTTTTGGTGACCCCAAGTGTGGGCACATAACTGATGCTATAATGAAAGGCTACTGGAGACCCCCAGGAGTGGGTTCATAGGCAGAAGGCGTCCCATGCTGGGGACTCACATCAAGTCGAGGCTAGGTGAGCCCTTTGAGATGACACCGCCTTGGAGGGAGATCAGTGAGTATCTGAGGGTATTAGCCAGACAGTAGTTCAGTGGTCACCAATTCATCTTCATCGTTATACTGTGGTTTCATCCCAATGAATAGACTGATGCACGATTGTAGAGAACTTTTAAATTGTTGTTGCTGACGGTTATGGGTATTAGTTGTACAATATGATTATGTGAACTGTGTTAGGTAAACACTTTCCAGTAGGAAACCTCAATTAGTCGTGAGATATTTGATTTGGGAACTTTTGTAAATATTGTTTGAAGCATTAGTCATTCACCTCTAGACACTTCGAAAGATATGCTGTCCCTACACCGCCGAACGGTATTCATCAGAGGTGAGGAACCAACATCTGCACACAAATAAGCCACATCTTAAAACAGATGTAAATGCAGCACTAAAGTCCTGAAACAGGACTAATGTCAAGATATGGGTGAACAGCCATCTCTTCTTGCCAGAGTTAACAGCCTGTGAATGCACAAGAGAACTTCCATCATTTGCTATATTAGCTAAGATCACTTGAGGTAATGGAATTTCCTTCCAACCAGTTAGCATATGACACCATGCTGAGAGACTAAATGTTGCCTGTTGTCTCCTTTCAGGTTGCCACTTTCATCTTGCAGAAAATTCTCCTCGATGAGACAGGCTTGAGTTACATATGTCATACGTACGAAAGGTTCTCACATGTAGCCATGATACTGGTGAGTGATGATGTCTTTGAGCTTATTTTGTACTAATAATTTAACATGACCAGTCTTATTCCCTACATGACCATTTTAATTCCGTACATGATCTGTTTTTTTCCCTACATAACCAGTCACCCCTCCCCCATCCCCTGTATGATCTTTCACTCCACCACATGACCAGTCACTCCCATACATGATCTTTAACTCTCCTACCTAGTCAGTGACTTTCCTACATGACCAATCCCTCCCTTACATGACTATTCACTCTCTTACATAACCAGTAACTCCCTTACATAACCAGTCACTCCCTTACATAACCAGTCACTCCCTTACATGACTATTCACTCTCTTACATAACCAGTCACTCCCTTACATGACCAGTCACTCCCTTAAATGACTATTCACTCCCTTACATAACCAGTAACTCCCTTACATAACCAGTCACTCCCTTAAATGACTATTCACTCCCTTACATAACCAGTCACTCCCTTAAATGAGTATTCACTCTCTTACATAACCAGTCACTCCCTTACATGACCAGTCACTCCCTTACATGACCAGTCACTCCCTTAAATGACTATTCACTCTCTTACATAACCAGTCACTCCCTTAAATGACTATTCACTCTCTTACATAACCAGTCACTCCCCCATAAATGACTATTCACTCTCTTACATAACCAGTCACTCCCTTAAATGACTATTCACTCTCTTACATAACCAGTCACTCCCTTACATGACCAGTCACTCCCTTACATGACCAGTCACTCCCTTAAATGACTATTCACTCTCTTACATAACCAGTCACTCCCTTAAATGACTATTCACTCTCTTACATAACCAGTCACTCCCTTAAATGACTATTCACTCTCTTACATAACCAGTCACTCCCTTACATGACCAGTCACTCCCTTACATGACCAGTTACTTCCTTGCATGACCAATCCCTCCCTTACATGACTATTCACTCTCTTACATAACCAGTCACTTCCTTGCATGACCAATCCCTCCCTTACATGACTTCACTCTCTTACATAACCAGTAACTCCCTTATATTACCAGTCACTCCCTTACATGACTATTCACTCCTTTACATAACCAGTCACTCCCTTACATAACCAGTAACTCCCTTATATTACCAGTCACTCCCTTAAATGACTATTCACTCTCTTACATGACCAGTCACTCCCTTACATGACCAGTCACTCCCTTACATGACCAGTCACTCCCTTACATGACCTGTCACTGCCTAAGATCCTGTAGCAGGCAGGATCACTGACAGTGTGGGATTGTCATGGCAGGGAGAAGACACTGTTTCATCAGCAGGCAGGATCACTGACAGTGTGGGATTGTCATGGCAGGGAAAAGACACTGTTTCATCAGCAGGCAGGATCACTGACAGTGTGGGATTTTGATGGCTGGGCGAAGACATTGCTTCATTAGCAGACAGGATCACAGGCACGGACTGTAGAGATCCTACACTAGGGAGGGGACATAACACATTCTTATAAACAGTCTGTGAAGGCAGCAATCCTGCACTCTCGTGAGTGAGACAGCTCACAGCTGGATAATAGAATTCACATGAATCTTTTTTTTTCTGCTTTCCCACAATTCTTATGTTGGTTTGTTTGTATTTTTTGTCATTGCAGGGTAAAATGGTGCTTTCATTATCCAAAGAACCTTCAGCTCGTCTGCTGAAGCATGTTGTCCGATGTTATCTACGCCTTTCAGATAATTCCAGGTAGGTTATTTATCTGAAAGCCAAATCGTCACATTTTTTGGGGGCCTGTTTTCTCCACATGATTATCGCAGCTGAATATTTAGCAGTTTGGACAAGACTTTGTACAGATTCTCCAGCACCTCCTCTTGTCACTCTGCTGCTGCTGTATACATGGTTGGTTTGGCTAAGGATTGATGTTGGGTTGGGTAATGGTTGAAACATGGTTGGATTTGGGTAAGGGTTGACAGATGGTGGGTGGGTTTGAGTAAAGGTGGACACATGTTTGTGTTTGTGTGAGGGTTGACAGATGGTGGGTGGGTTTGAGTAAAGGTGGACACATGGTTGGGTTTGTGTAAGGGTTGACAGATGGTTGGGTTTGAGTAAAGATGGACACATGTTTGAGTAACAGTTGACACATGGTTGGATTGGGTAAGGGTTGAACATTGTTGGGTTGGATAAGGGATGATACATTGTTAAGTTGGGTAAGGGTTGATAAATGGTTTGGCTGGTTAAGTGTTGATACATTGGGTTTCATGCCACTGATTATGATTATGGCTAACATCCAAAGTCAGTGACTTCCATGAAAATATATTTGTTGTACAAATAACCTGATGACTGAGTGCAGGACTTGTTCTGGTATTGGTGTACAGTAAAGACACTGGTTATCCACATAGAGATAAAGTGTCAACATTTTTTTAAAAACATGCTTCAGGATTCTTTGATAGAAAATGCGATAATAAAGGTATTTTTTTTCAAACCGCTACACTACTTGTGTTTACCATTGTTGCTGTGTAGGCAGGGGAGGTCCTTGAACCTGAGGATTTATGGCTGCATGACTAGTGTTGTTGCCGTGGACTGGCAAGTTAAGATTTCTGAGGATTCAAACCTGTCTCCCATTGATATCAGAGCCCAGCATTTTCAAATGTTTAGCATGCTGCGCTTCAGTAGATAAAATAATAAATCTATGACTAAATTATTTATTTGCTGATTTTTGGAATGTAAGGTCTTGGAGGACATTGTGTCTCTCTCTCCCTAGGTTAAGCATATAAACATTCATGGGTATTGAATTTGCCGTGTTTGCTTGTTTTCCACATCAAAGATTCTGTTAAATTGCATTTTCTGCACACAAAATATCTGAGGCAGAAGTCGGGCATGATCTCTACACCCTCCAGCTGCCACATTTTGCCGTGAATATTAACAGAATAAACACATGTCTGGAAGGGCCAGTCTACTATCTAAAACATGAAGATAAGAATGGGATTGTACTTAGAGTTCATAACCTGACCCTTTGTGAACAGGAGCTATTCCCCACTGCCCTTTCTAGCATACCTTGTTATTACATTATGATTGTAAATCTGTAATTGTCCATAGGGCACGTGAGGCTCTGCGCCAGTGTTTGCCTGACCAGCTGAAAGATCATACCTTCCAGAACTGTCTCAAGGATGACAATACAACAAAGCGGTGGCTGCAGCAGCTGCAGCAGAACCTGTCTGAAAACCATGTAGATCCTGGAACCAACAGATCCTAATCACCTCATCATGGCCTACCATTGTTCTCAACTGTACATATCATGTTGTTTTAATTCCCTTTGAGAATCATCTGTGACATGCCTGCCATGAACTAGATTTTGACATGTTTTTTGTTGTTGTAGTAAATCATGTTTCTTGTTTCCACTTCTGACTCTTTTGAGTAAACTGTTCCTGAACAGTAATCTGCACTGTAAGAGCATTATCTTGTTTCTAGGGAAAGTTGTATTTGTTCTAGTGACTGTCTGATATTTCAGTTTGTTTGCGGGGAATATAGTTCTTTTTCTGTCAGTTTTTGCTGCTACACTTTTGTAGAGAATATGTTGCTGTCACTACATGTTTCCAAATGTGTGCAGAAATTGCAGTTTATTCTTTATTATCTGGTGTGTCATCATCTTTGTAGTGGTTACTGAATCTCCTCTCTCTGAGCCTCCCCTTCTACAAATCCTATCCTCCGCAAGTATATTTTCTAATTTCTTTTGTTATTATTCACATATGATGATTTTGGAGACAATAGTGGTCAAATGAAATGATTGTTGAAAATTTATAAAACACCTGCAATTCTGTGGCTAGGTTTGAACTGTTTGTACTGCAAGGAGGTTGTTTGTGTTGTTGGTTGTTGTCAGTTGGGTTGTTCACAACTCCACAAACTGGTGTGCGCTCATGGATCTTTGGTGGCTTGGTTTCACTACAGTAGGATAGCACACGCACATATTCTGAGCCTACTTATATGTCCCCATACAAGGTGTGCAAGATTGCAAGATGTGGGTGCATACAATAGCATCTTGAGCATCCGTGACTTGCAGTATTCTATAAAGTCCTTACTGAGTTAAGACTCGACATCAAAGCACTTGGGACATCCTGTAAAGACCCCCATCTTCTGCAAAAGTGCAGTTCCAGTGCTGATGGTACCAGTGGGTCTGATTATACCTCTGCATTTCCTGTCATTTGAGACTCCCCTCCGCACCATTATCTTCGGACCATCATGATGATCTTTTTGTGCCTCCAGAACCAGCCATTCTATCCGCTTGTTTGTTCCACAGCACAACTGCATGCCCTAGATAGCATGTCCAGTTAATGTTAAAACTCTATCAGTGATAAAACAGTTTCAGTTCTAAGTCATGTGGTGGACTTCATGTCTTCATCTGTTTGCCTGTTATAACATAGCCTAGGTCATCAGCAGAAGCCCTTTGTAGATGGTCATCAGCCAACTCACAGAAGCCGTTTCTAGACTTGTTCATGAAAAGTTTGATCTTGCAGCTTAAGTTTTTCTATAGGAATGAGGTTTTCAGTGTCACTCAAATTCTACTTAGTGCAGATATGCTGAGTCATTGTATAATGTAATGGGAGGGAATGCCACATCACCAGGTTGTTGTATTGTTAACAGACATAAACAATACATTGTGTAAATGTATGTGCTGTAATAGGAAAGGCTAGGTTCCTCGGGTGTGATTGTGTCACCTCTCACAACCTGCATGCTGATTTATGGTGGTCCTATTCTTTGCCGTCTTTCTGGGCACAGGGAACCCATGGAAGCTTGAGCACAGTCAACATTCGGAAAGTCTTTGTGTGTGTGTGGACTTGGAACATCCTGCATTGCTTCACAAGGATACCCTGTCAGGCAGCTGTATGCCTTAGCATTATTTCTAACATAGTGAGATTATGTTCAGTGTAACCAACTCTTGTCGAATAAAATTTCCGTAGAAACATTTCCATGATGAAATGTCTGTCACTTGTCATTTGACAGCTGGGGACAATAGTATTCTTATCATTTTGTAATCTTTTAATGTTTTGTTTCTTCGAATGAGATTTTTGTTTTAACATGCATGTTACCTGTTTATGCCACCTGCCTGTGGTCTGTGTATACAATGTAAATTACCGTGTCTTGATTTTTACCCTTTGTTCAGTTGTTTTACTGATAGTCAAATGTTTGGGACGTGCTTATGGACAAAATGAGACAACACAGAAATGTCTCATGAAAGTGATTATTGTTAGTTGTCAGTTGTCCTCTGTCTTTGATGATATTTACTGTTGACCCAAATGTTTCTGGAAGCTTACTAACTGATATATATGTAACTTTGTATTTGAGTATGTCATTTTTGTCTTAGCCTGAATTAAAGGGAGTCAGTCTGATTATTAACTTCCTAGACTGTGTGTGGTTGCAATTCATCGAACTGTCATTAGTTGTATGTATGCCTACAGAGACATTTCATTGATTGTCTGTGACCTTGCATTGCTTGTAAATGTTTAAATGCAATTCATCAAACTGTCCTTAATTGTATGTATGCCTGTATAAAAGCACATGGCCTGAAGGGGCATTCGCACATGAATTGATAAATGCTTTTGAAGATTGCAGGTTGTGGAGGGGTATGATTGCCCATGCTTGTCGAAATGGTAATGATGTACATCTATATTGGTGCATGCTTCATTTTTATTGACACGAGTAAGAAAATGAGAACAGACAGAATATTCTGTAAAACAAACAAACAAAAATTTGTATGCTGGCCAGTAATAAATTCATTTATCATTTTAAAATTATTTTTTGAAATATGTAAAGGGTGATAAGTAAACAACGGGGTGAATCATAAATCTGACTGCATCCCCTTGTGGCCTAAAAAACACACTTATCAGGGTGACTTGTATGACTTTGTGACCTTAACTATTGAGGCTTATGAGAAAATATGATGTCATCTTAGCTTTAAAATGTCCTTTAACACAAATAAAAAACAACTCTAAATGCTATTGTTAGTTAATTTATTCATATCTTCACCTGCTAAACATTTGCACAGGTGCAGACTCAGAAGATTGTATTAAATAATCATGTAGTAAACAGGACACGGTACATATCATGAACATGCCAGCATCCTGCCAGGCGCGATATTTCATGTGTGTCCATTCTCACGCGCTGTTCTGTGTTCTAGGGGTGTCACATTGTGTTATTTTGAATGTTGTGACAGGCCAGCACATTCTATATTCCACGTTGGGAGCCAGCACTGTGTGTGTGTGTGTTACAGCATTCTGCGAGATGTGGGCATGTTCGTGATATGTACTCAGGTCATTGTAGGCAAATGTGGAAAAGTGACACAAATTGGGAATTGGATCTACATAAAAGTGTCAGTTTTTCAGGTTAAAGCCAAGACAAATACAATCACAGCCTCCGATTTACAGGACAAGTCTGCGGTGCTATCACTTCTGTTGTTGATGTCTTAATTTCTGCATGTTTCTTTGTTTTAATGATGAACTGTTAAGTAAAGAATTTAAAAAAATTTGTGCATTATATTTGTGTTTCTATCCTTTTTTCAGGTATAATTTTTTAAATCTTAAGAATACGTCAGTGTCAGACAGCATCTACACCTACAGTAACAAATGATAGCATCAACAATTCTTAGCCTTGTATCCACCTTGCAGGTTGGCTACAGTAAACCCACTGCTGCCGTTGTGATTTTTAGGTTGTTGGGATTGAATATTTTACTCAGTGCCACTCTCGCACTAATGTCCGAAATCAACGAGAATGGTCTATTTTTTATTTTTCCTTTTAAAAAAAAAACTATACCGTGCAGAAATTGAACTAGAGCATAATGAAATTGTTAAACACATTTACTAATCTCTAAAACACAGAGCTGCTATAGTCCATGACAGTGGTTCCCTAGCTGGTAGTCTCTAGACCCCCGGGGGTCTGCAGAACACATATAACCATGATCTGTCTGTGTGTGTGTCTGTCTGTCTGTGTGTGTGTCTGTCTGTCTCACTCACTTAAAGACACACACACATAATCAATCAATGTTCTCTGTTTTCACACCTACAACTAGTAAAAGGTCCCAACAGTATATTATACCATCAAAACCTTGCCACCCCACCACAGTTATGTTTCCCCCCTAATTCTTGAACGCACCTTAACCTACCCACATGACATATATGGCTCAAGGACCATCCACACCAACGACCATCCACACCAGCAGCCATCCACACCATGACTGTTCACACCAACGACCATTCACACCAACGACCATTCACACCAGCAGCCATCCACACCAACGACCATTCACACCAGCCATCTACACCAACAGCCATCCACACAACGACCATTCACACCAACGACCATTCGCACCAACGACCATTCACACCAACGACCATTCACACCAACGACCATTCACACCAGCAGCCATCCACACCAACGACCATTCACACCAGCAGCCATCCACACCAATGACCATTCACACCAGCAGCCATCCACACCAATGACCATTCACACCAGCAGCCATCCACACCAACGACCATTCACACCAACGACCATTCACACCAACGACCATTCGCAGCAACGACCATTCGCAGCAACGACCATTCACACCAACCACGACCATTCACACCAATGACCATTCACACCAACGACCACCACACGACCCATTCACCACCACGACCATTCACACCAACGACCATCGACCACCAACGACCATCACCACACGATTCGCAACACGACACACCAACCACCACCACCAACGACCATTCACACTAATGACCATCTACACCAACGACCATCACCACACATTCACACCAACGACCACCGACATTCACACCAACGACCACACACCAACCACACCACCACCATTTACACCAGCAGCCATCCACACCAACGACCATTCACACCAGCACCATCCACACCAACGACCATTCACACCAACACCACCATCCACACCACCAGACCATCACACCAGCACGACCATCCCACCACGACCATCACCACCATTCATCGACCATTCACACCAGCAGCCATCCACACCAATGACCATTCACACCAGCAGCCATCCACCACATTCACACCGACCATCACACCACGACCATTCACACCAGCACCACGACCATTCACACACCAACGACCATCACCACCACACCAACGACCATCACCACCAGCCATCCACACACGACCATTCACACCAACGACCATCACACACCACGACCGACCACACCACGACCATTCACACCAACGACCATTCACACCAACGAC